TGAACTTCTGTGTTCAAAGGGTTTTGATCAGCAGCACAAAGACAAGCTGGAGACCAGTCCCTTGTGATCAATACTAGGGTCATACCATTTAACATCTTCATTGCCTTGACAATGGGGCAAAGTTGCATGCTTACAAGTTTGCAGATGATCCAAACCTGGGAACAGCAGTTGATGTACCTGATGATGTCCTTCTGAACAAAGACAACTAACAGAGACAAAAGGGCAGAGAGGAACCTCATGAAGTTCAGTGAAGGGAAGTGCTGTCTTGCGCCAGGGAAGGGATAACCCCATGTACCAGTACAAGCTGTAGCCTGACTTACTAAAAGCAGCTTTGCAGAGAGTCTATGTTAAAGCAGTTCCTGAATCACCAGTTACAGCCTGGTGTTTTATCAGTATGGTTTCTCACCATGTTTAGGCCGATGTGACTGAAGACCTTTCTGCAGCTTCCTGCAGTAAAATGGGTGTAAAAGCAGCATGTAACTGCTCCCTGAGGTAGCCTGGTGTCAGTTCCAGTTTGAGATACAGCACGGGTATGTGAAGTTTGGCAGTTCATGAGCTGTTTCACAAGCAGCTCCTGAGGTTAAACTGTTAAAGGCTATCAATGGGCTAGTAATTATTTCCAGCCCACAAGCTAAGGAATAGTAAACCTACCTCAGCACAACCCTAGCCTCACTGCTACCCACTAACCTTTACCCACTGCCAGATTAACTGATGGGAGAAGCAAATGTGGTAAAATCAATCTTGTAAAAAATAGCAAGAGGATGGGTTGCTTGTCAGCCAGGGGCGTCTGCTGCTCAGGTTCATCACACAGGCACGCAGAATTTGCCAGTATCACATAGTTTGCTGCAGCTTTATTATGTCTCCTGACCCCAGGAGAGGGATTCCCAGGGAGGCTACCAGGACCCCCTGCTCAACCCAGCACCTTCTACCAGCATGGGGGTTTCTGCCTTCCCGATGCTAAAATAAAGATCTTTTAAAGTGTTTATTTGAAAATGTGTTTTGTTGGAAGAATGTTTTCCTAAACTATCAAGAATCCTGTGAATGATTTTGATGGAACAGGCTAAAAAGCCACAGCCTACACGCATGCTCTCTGAAACTTCTCCTTCCTGTCAGCCTCTTCAGAAGTATCACATTTCCTCTTGTTCACAGCCCTGTCACGTCCTTCCAGGGATGTAGCCCTCCAAGCCACCAGCCACTCGGGGAAATTCCGCGCTCCCCTTCTTTTCCTTAGGGATGAATACCCCTCCATGGCAGCTGAGGCCAGCCTGTTCCTGTAGTCTCCCTGGTGCTCAGGCTGCTCGGGGATGTCTCACTTGTGCTGTCGAGCAGAAAGCTAAAACAACGCTCACTCTCTGGGATTCATGTGCTTTTATTACAAAATTCACAACCGGCCTGTGCTGACTGAATAGAATTACAACAAAAAATATTTATTCGTGTGCATGAGGTGTCCCAGCCAAACTGGCCTCATCCAAGCAATTTTTCTGCAGGGGATTTTATAGCTTGCACTGTAAGGATGCGATATGAATCATCCAATTACCTACTAATGCATATTTCTAATTATCCAATCATTAAAAAGTGTATTTTGTGGGTCTTGCAGCAGCATCATCATCATCATCCTTGTGGTTTATCTGTTAATCCAGATGTTTCAGTCGTTGACTTCAGCAAAGCTATTGGGTATCATCAGCAACCCATGTTTCTCTTCGATACAGACCCTTCAGTTAATTTTGCAAGAACAGAGGTTTCCTTATCTCAGTCAATCACCTGTTCTTTTTAGTAGGGGTGGGAGATGGGTCTTGGGTCTGAAGGTAATGATGCAGGAATTGTACACTAAAAATGTTGTTAGCTCCAAAGGACTGCGTGGTCTCGGTTTATATCCAGGCAGAAAAGTAAAAAAGAGCAGGGTGGGGGGAAGAGAAAATGGGTTGCAGGTAGCAAGATCTGGGAGGCAGCAGGCTCTCGTCTCTGCAGATTAATGGAGATTAGGAAAACCGGTGCTGTGGCACCACCCCACTGATGGCAGCAATGAGGGAATCAGTGGTTAAAACAACTGTGCCTCTTGCCTGAAGGTTCCTGACCTCCCCAAAGCTCCCCTGTACTTCTTCCAGGCTTGGGAAGGTACTCTGTCCTAAATATTAAGCGCTAGAAGTGGCCGGAGACAGCCCTTTTGTGCGAGATTTGGGATTTCCCACAGCATTTCAGTCTGCTTCAAGAGGCACACCTGCCG